TTTATATTCCCAATTTTACTCTCATCTGTTTAGTTTTCATTACTTTCGCTGGTAAAATAGGTTAGTATACCTAAAATATATATTTTATTTCTAATTAATAATAAAAAAGAATTGGATTCACTCCATTAGAGAATAACGCCAGTGAAATTGGTTGAATTGGATCGATAGACTAAAGTGTAAGTAAGTAAAGAATACTGAGATCTACTAAACTTCGACGTAAATTTGAACAACCCACGCATTAAGTCCTACTAAATATAATTTCTGTTTCATACGCATAAAATGATATAAGTGTGTAGTATTGACTACTGATTTGCTACCGGATAGGAGAAAACTACTTCAAATCATAATTACTGATGATTATTTTATTCATTTTGGATTTTTCAGTGGATTGTAACTGGACCGAAGTGTTTGACATCCGCTGACATATCAGCTCCTTGTGAGGATACCTCGACGATGTATAAGGATTTAACTTCAAATAATTTTTTTAATCATAGTTTGAAACCACACAGTAGTTTTGGTAGGAGTAAGGATTTTTCAGCATGTGATATTGGCAGCCCAAATTTTGCAGGCCTGTGCCGGTAGGGGATCAAACCCTGTACCATGTGCATGGTCGGCGAGAGTCCTAACCACTGTGCTACCGATGCACAAGAGGTGGCTCACGTGGCCAAATTGGCCAAGTGGATAATGCTTTGGAGTTTGAAACGATGAAGACTGTATTTGAGTCTCAGTGAGAATAAGATTACTCACTGGAGAATGCAGTTACATCCAGATGGCGAGTCCCAAACAGGACGAAATGAGCATTCTGGATTCTGCTGCTAGTCACCATCCACCAAATTACTTCATAATTACTAACTGATTTGAATCAAATCTCCTTTAAACGAGTTGTTTCGAAGATCCTACATTTTACATCAAAAAAGCTTAGTTGCTCTTTCTTTCATTCAACAGTAGAACAATAAAATCAAATTTAATAATGGATAGATACTTCGGAATTATGTAAGTCATCTGAAGAAGTTAATAGGTTTCTGATACACATAATTAAAAAAGGCAATCAACTAGGTAGAACATATTCCTTTTTGATGTTAAAAATAACTGCATTTTGCCAAGAAAAATATACTGATGTGGTTATACAGGTGAATCCATAAATGACACAAATCACTCTGCAGATTTATGGAGCATTTTTCAGCCTTATCAGAGAAGCTTTATCTTTCTTGCTGTCATACTACTTTAATCAGATTGTCTAAGATTTAAATATATAGTCAATAATAGTTTCTGTGACTAACAATACCTTCAGTCAAAAAGACGACAGTCAGATGGCTTCAACCGGTGTACACTGTGTTTCTTATTGACGTGTATTTAGCAGTTTTTAAGCAAAAATGACACCGTATTATGTGGGAACAAGTAAGAATCCGATAAGGCCTATAAAAAATCTTCATTCAGAAGCACTGATATTAGGAAATCTTAGAAACTCATGTAAGATTTAAGAGATCTAAACCGAACTGATTTCTGAAGTTGAATAACTTTTCTCACAGTTTTCAGCTAAGCTGAGCAAACTCTTTCACAGTGTCTGTATATGACTCCTTGATTTCATATTGTCATGAAGCAACATGAACAACCACATACTCTTAAAAAAAAACCTCAGAGATGAGCGGTTCATTCTCAATTTTCTTCACATATCGGGATATTAAGACCAGCAGATAAACACCGACGAGCTATCGATATCACTGATGTCTACTCTTACATCTTCATTCTTAAGGACATCCTAAGGTACAGATTCCTTTTATTCTTTTACTGGGATATTGCATAAAATGTTTCCTACTTGCCACTGAGTTCTACACAAAATCTTTAATTTTATGCCGAAGGAAATGAATGCATGTCTATGAATCAATGTTCAATGGAGATTTGTTTATTTAAACTGCACTTTTGAATGACTATTAAAAGAGGCGTTATAAATATAACATAAGTCTTGGATATAAAAAATATGTATTAATGTAAACTTTTGTGCAGAATTACAAAAATTTGATTTGCTAAATTTCAAAACTGAACATGAGAGAGAACAAACAGAAGTAGAATAATTGCACTAGAAGAAACAAAGATTAGTATGAGAGAAGATAAAGCCATTAATTCAAAGTCAGACAGTATGAATATTTAAAGATGACAAAAAAAATAATACATCGATTGTTATGAGTTAGGGGATTTCATCATGAGCTGGCATCCATTAGACAACCATGGGAAAACCAACAGGGAGTACTGAACAGACAGCTGTTTCGTCAGCCTAGTTTCAGACTCTTCATCAGTGCGCACCAACCCTCAGGATTCGAACCCAGGACCTTCTGGTTATAAGGCGAGCGAGCTCGTAGACCATTAAGCCACTGGGATCTGATCCAGTCCCCCGTGAATTCCAATTCACAACATAGTGCGACCACTAGTCAATGTCTTGGGTTTGAACTCCGGTGTGTGCGTAATGAGGAAGAGTCCCAAACTAGGGCGAAAAAACTGTCCAGTACTCTCAGGTTCTCTAACCGATGTTGGCTCGTGATGAAATCCTGTAACCAATCAATCAAATCCCTACAAACCAATACTTGAACATTATGAGTTAATTCTGCCATGTTACTCAATGTGCGTATCTGTTGATGGTTAATATCAGTTAGGTTGCTGGCTATGCAGCCTGCACAGATTCCATTGAAAGAAAGCTTTTTGTATTAACATTTACTAACTTTGTCCAAGATAATAATACTACATCCATCAAGGATAATTGTCACAAATCATCTGTTTTTCATTTGTATAATTACATCAAGATTTGGTTAAATGAATTTTGGCTTTTTCCCAAAACTGTTTATTTTGTCAGATTTACTCTTGTTCTCTAAGACCCAGATTGACGAGTTCGCACACTTTCTGATGAATATGCGAAATGACACATTATGCTTGTCTTTTGTTTTAATGATAACTTTCTCATGTGGTTGAATAATACACACGATCTTCACCTTCTCACTCTCCGCAACTGTCTATCTTCCATACTAATTCTTGATTGCATCCTAGGTTATTTACAGGAATCTGTCATTCTCGCCTAATGAGTATTCAACAACTTCTTGACAATCTTCAAAGTGAAGAGAATACACTGAAGCATGCCTAGTTATCTTCATCATTGAATTATGCTGTTAAAATTGTGGCAATTGACTCAGTCTTATCTGTAAGTGACTGTACCTTTATACAACTCATTCACATTAATATTGGCAATATACTCTTTAAATTTCTTTGATAATTTGGACTTTTATTTCTATATTTTGTATGATTCCTGAGCTTAGTGCTTAGTCCCTCACAGCTACATCTCACACATAATCGAAAGGGATATGAAATCATTCATATTTCTAAAAATGACTCTCAAGTCTGTACATAACACATGTTTCACATATTTAAACATAAAGGCTGAGATTAGAATGAAACAGTAAAACCATAATTCTTCCATCACACATTATTTTAAATTCATTCTTCGCATTTTTGGCCTTCTACAGATTGTGTTTTGTTTTGATTCCTTTACGTCCCCAGTGGAAAATAAGGCTTCAAGCTAAAGACTTGGAGTTTCGGTAGCAGTGATGATTATTTTTACAGGATGAGGTTGCTAGCCTCATGCCCAACCTTCCCTCTTTACCAGTCTTATTATTGGTTTAGCAAAGTAAAGGAGTGCTTCGGCCGGACTCTGGACCACCTGCGTGGTCGGCGAGCACTCTACCGCTGTGTCACTGACGCAGACAGATTGTGTTTATTCCTACTCATTATTATTTATTTACTGAGCACTTCTGGTAGGCTTTGTTAGAGTATATACCCTGAACACCTAGTTTGACAGATTAGAAGACAGTGACTTTAGATCGTACAGTCGATTTAAACGCACTCCTGTATAGACTTACACTTTGGTTCCTAAGTGATTAGTTTTCTTATTCAAGTGTTGGTTTGCAAGGATTTAATTGGTTATAGGACTTCACTATATGTTAGAGAACCATTAGGAAACCTGAGAGTACTGAGAGCTTTTTCGTCCTAATTTGGGACTTTAACCGATATCAGCTCATTATGAAATCCTGTAAGCGATCAAATTTGAATATCAATCTGACGCTCACTAACGACTGTCCCTATTCAGATAGGTAGTTAACTGAATTCTGGTGAGAAGTCGTGACCCTTGGCATACAGCAGGTTTGATGTGAGGACAAATACTCACCGATGACACTGGCTAGTGCCAGTCGCGCTACATCGTAAATTGGCAAAACTTAGAATTCATGAGCTGGTCATTGGATTGGGTTCCAGTGGCTGAATGGTCTACGAGCTCACCTTACAGCCGGAAGGTCCAGAGTCCGAACCCTGATAGGTGCGTAATGATGAAGAATCTCAGACTAGGCAAAATAGCTATCCAGTACTCCCAAGTTTTCCTATAGCTCCCTAGTGATAAAATCCTGACTAGTTTTTTCTTGTTAAATCTTCTTGTAAAACACAATTGAAAACGCGGTATATGGATCGGGTTAAGTTGTTCAACTACTCCACAATATTCTGACAAATCCGCTGTTGGTAAAACTAATTATTTGTTCAGGTGTATTTAAATAGTTAAAAATCGATATATGTATTTATATGTATATATGAATTAGTGTTCAAGTAATCAGGGGTATATTCCGTTTTATTTTCCTCATTAAATAATTTGAAAAACATGCGTCTCCTTAATCTTTGTGCTTATTCACGTTTTGTTCTCTTTCAACAGAACCAAAAAAAAAGTGGAATATGCATGCATAATTACTGAAAGCTAATTAATAATTTAACACATGAACTCTCTTCTTAAAAATGAGGAAGATAACATCACGTAAGAAAATGAATTATGTCGATTCACCTGGATGGTATCTAAGATTAAATGTCATTCTACCTGGTCTATATGGAGAAAAAGGAGATATTGTAAAGAATTTTATTTGTTCAAGTAAATCACCTTTCCGAAATACTAACAAATATGCACTCTTACCAATTTATAGAACTGCAACAGAATTTTCTAGTGAAGAGTATATTAAAATTAAACCGTTCACTTATAGACGCACCACATGGGCATGTAGACATTATGGAAAAATCACACATCCGGTTAATATACTTATGGCTAAGTCGACAAGAGTTAAAACAAATAGAAGAAATAAATAAGAGGAATTAAAAACAGATGATCTAGAAAAAGTTATTTTAAGAAATTTATTTCTTTTAATTCTTTGCATAAACACTTCAGCAAGTGCAAAGTTAGTTTATGAAAATGCGTTGGATTATTTGTGTTTTTTTTATTTGAGATGAAGTACGCTTTTTCTTTTTGGAGTAATTTATTTTTGCAACAACTTCCTAATACATTTTTATTATTAACTAACGTCTTAATAAACTGAATAATTATTTTTAAACTTGCTATTTTGTGGTGGATACTTAGTACAGAGTGATATAATTTCCCAAAATTATTAGCCCACAGCATTCATCACTCAGTATTGGATGCTGGCCACTGTTTTAAGTAGACTCGTTGACCTGAAGGCTGGTATTCATGCATCTACGGCGCTTGGCATGCCGTTGTGGTGCGTTCGTTCGTACACGATCCCACAAAACCAGCAGGATAAAACTTGACCATTGCCTTACATTAGACTCTGACATTGATTGTTGGAGTGAAATGGTTGAGTTAACCGCAAATGGATGTGTGTTACCAGGAATCAACGCAATCTGATAGGTTGTAGCATCACTTTCGGTTACATGTGCACAATCTCTAATTAGCTAAGCATATGCCTCAGCATAAAAGTTTAAATACCTTCATATATTTTACATTTCGAGTGATTTGGTTGTTGTTCTAATTCAGCTTACAATTTAATGATTGACGCCCAATAAATGTATTTGGTTTGGAGAATAGTATTTAAGTATCACAGTTCTATTGTATCTTTCTGCATGAACAAACCTACAGTATTGTGGGAGACGCAAGTCACAATGTATCCCTGCGATTTGGGAATAAGCCTAACTAGGCCTACATGGACACGGTCGATACGGGGATATGGGGTACAGAGGGTACGAAGATGGCTATTGACATAGGTTTGTGGTCGCTTTGGAGATCACTGGTCATTGGATCGAGTCCAAGTAGCTGAATGGCCTGTGAAATCGCCCTGTAACTGAAAAGTCCCTGCTTTATGCCCCGATGAATAAATACTTCTGAAGAGTCCCAAATTAGGATGTTTAATGCCCTCTGCTTTTCCAGTGTTTTTCTAATTGATCTCAGCGGACGATCAAACCCATAACCAAACAAATCCCTGAAAACCAACATTTGAATTCTTGACCCACCAACGAATTTCTCAAGTGGCATACACCACTAAAAATAGCAAAAAAAACACTATCGAAAGTGATGTACTAAGTTTCTGAAGTTTGTAGCCCTTCTAGAGAAAAAATAGTGGCATCCGTTAGCTTCTGACTAGTTGTTGTAAGACTATATCGACTAACTACAATTGTAGAGTTCAATGCGTCAAATGAGATGCTTAGACGCACTTTAGGATAACGATGAATCAGAAAGGTGGCATCTACCACGGTATTTTCAATCCAAATGAAGGCGATTTAGTGGATGCACCGGATCATACGCATCTGCTATTCCCACTAACCTCACTCAGTTTACTTTGAAATAGGGTTATACATTTTTGATTATTTCGATGATGCCTAAAGATAAGAGTTATTATTATTAGCCTTCCCATTAAAGTAAAATCCGTGTATGAACATTGACTTGACGAATCCAATTAGGATAGTTGCTGAACACTGGAAGAAACTACTTATGATGCTCTTTTAATATTGAAAGTAAAAGGTTTTAGACCATAGAGAAGCTTGCATAAATAGAGGAAACACCATGTACCAGTGTTTCTTCCGGTGAGATTTTCAACATCTTTATTAAATCCATCAATAATATGTTATTCCATCTGGCGTCTGAAAAACAAAGTATGGCGATAGTGATTGCGTTGTGATAAGTCTGAAGCAGCATCGGCGATGTAAATATGTACCAGGGACTCCAAAACGACTTCAAGAAATCAAGAACAAAAACAGCTATAGGATGCTCGAAACTCTCCCATTAAGAGTCGTATAATTACTGTATATAAAATTACGCATATCTACGTTTACGCAAGATACACTGCATACAAACGCAATTGTTTATACTGTAACACCCCGAATACTTGTCATTGTTGTGACCAGAGACAAAACAATGGATTGATCGTCCAAAGGAAGAGACAGAATTCGAAAAAAGAAACTCATAGCGATGATGGCTGTATAACTGGCCAAGGCCCATGCATGCCAAAGGCGTGGATGCGAGACCCGGTACTTAAGTTCGCTAAATCATTTGAACCCTAGCCTTCTAACCCTCAACGATAAATCTATTCATCTGCACGGATCCAAACACATAGTGGCCAAGTGGATTTTCAAGCTACAAGAGCTCAGTGGCGGCGTTGTGGTATGATTGTGTATCTCTATACTCTCCTCACATCAGCAATAAATACAACTCTGGGAAGCAGTGAGAGTCATATTCTCCCTTAGCTAGTTGAAGTAATTTTAAGAACAGACTGACCACCACGTTATGTTGAACAGGCCAAAGAATCAGGAGGCAATGTGGCCAAAGCTAAGGTCTAGTAGTTTAAGCTGACAGAAAGCGAGTTCAAATATTTTCAGGCAGCCTAACTAGCTAATTTGCTAGATGTTAACACTGACTCGATCACTTATGAAAAATGAAATAAATTTAAAGATTAACATATCATAAACTTATAAGGAATTTCCTTAAATGGTTCTTCATAACCCAACACAGGTATTTTGGCACTTTTCCGGGGTTGTGGAATCTCACCATGTCCACTAGATTGCAGCATTTATACTGAATTGATGAATGTGTAGTGCACATTGTACCTTTGAACTTTTGTTTAAACTCACTCACCCATGGTGATACACTTTTTATCTTTTGAATTGTGAGTTTTCCGTACGTTCATTGGTTCGCTCTCTTGTTGTGCTCCTTTTTTGCACACTCTCCGAGCCTACCTCCAGCAACGTCTGCAGCTAAGTTGTACATTCACTTTATTTATTAAATCTGTTATTCAGTTACGTTAAATACAACTCATACTAAGGATTCTTTCCATTGTTAGCTTTTAAACTTTGATTGAGTTAATCAGTACTTACACGTTAGGTAGAGTACTGGTAAAGTCATAAGACGGTGAAGTTTTTAGTAAGTGTGGTGATATCGAGGACTATCTTAAGTCTAGCCTCAACACTTACAAGTGGTGAGCCCGTGTATTCATCGTTTCCCTCCATTTTAGCTTGCCGTGTTTTTAGTTCTTTTTCATACTGACTGCCTTTTTTGTGTATATTTTTTCACATAGAATTATTAATTTTTATTCGTTTTTTTTCGCACGTGTTTTTGTCGTATTACCCCGTTAGTATATCCTTCTGTCCCCAAAATGACTGACAACAGTGCTTCGCAAATGGCTATAACCTTGCAACTCCCAACCTTTTGGACACATCGTCCTGTTGCTTGGTTCAACCATGTAGAAGCTTTGTTCACTCTCAAACATATACACTCACAGGAAACGAAAGTAAACTGGGTAATTGTGAGTCTCCCTGAAAATGTTATGGAAGATGTTTCAGACGTCCTCATGGACCCGTCCCCTGACTTGTATGAACGGCTCAAGCAAGCGCTAATTAAGCGCGTTGCACTCACAGACCAACAAAAAGTGCAGGAACTCTTTCGTGATGTTCACCTCGGCGACCGGAAGCCCACTCAGTTGTTACGACAGATGAGACAGTTGGTCGCCGACTTCAATGTAGATGATGCTTTCCTTAAACAACTGTGGTTGCAAAGATTACCACAGGCGATTCAGGGCATTTTAGCTCCAATCCACAAATCTCCCTTACCCGAGTTGGCCGAAGCGGCCGATAGGGTAGTAGAGACTACTGCATCTAACCTGAGCATTTCGGCCGCGGCAACTGATCGGCCCGCTCAGATCAAAGGATCTTCAACTGGAGAGTCATCCAGCTTCGATACGGTGGCCCATATAACCAAGCTGTACGAAGAGATATGTAGTATCAGGCAAGAGATGAGAGTAAGAAGTCGTTCGGGTAGTCGCACAGACTCAACTCGTAGTAGATCATCGGCACGTGCCAGCAGTCGGCGTCGTAGGTCTCGAAACTTCCAGCCTGGAGTGTGCTGGTATCATCGGCGTTATGGTGATAAAGCCCAAAAGTGCACTCACCCGTGCACCTTCGATGTCCAAAAGTCGGGAAACTAACAGGCCAGCACGTGTTGGCGACTAACGTTGCTGGCGAACCACTTCCATGTCGCCTCTTCTATGTCACGGAACGTAACACTGGGATACGCTTCCTCATTGATACTGGAGCAGAGGTCAGTGTCATCCCACCCACAATAGAGGAGCGCAGGCGGCCAATGTCTTTACAACTACGTGCCGCAAATGGTTCGCCGATAGCTACGTTTGGCAGGCGCCTTCTTGACCTGAATATCGGCTTGCGCCGAGCATTCCACTGGGTCTTTCTGGTAGCGGACGTGACCACAGGTATCATCGGTATGGATCTGCTACAACACTACCAACTACTCGTAGATACAGGTAAGCACAGGTTGATAGATTCAGCCACCAACCTCTCGATAAACGGTATCGCCACCAAGTGCCCAGCCCTCAGCCCTGTATATGCCACACCCACTAGTACTGGTCCTTATTCGCATATACTGCAATCTTTTTCGGATTTGTTCAAACCTAGCAGCGGCCTGCCATGTGCGACTTCCAACGTCACACACCATATTGTCACTACTGGTCCGCCAGTTTTCGCAAAGCCGAGACGACTATCCCCAGAAAAACTAAAGGTTGTTAAAGCGGAGTTCGAGCATATGCTAGAAATGGGGATTATTAGGCCATCCAGCAGCCCGTGGTCCTCACCGTTGCACCTGGTACCTAAGAATAACGGTTTAGATTGGCGTCCTTGTGGCGACTACCGCAGACTAAACGCACAAACTGTTCCCGATCGCTACCCTGTCCCTCACATACACGATTTAACCGCCTCACTCAAGGGAGCTCGAGTATTCAGCAAACTGGACCTTACACGGGCTTACTACCAGATTCCGTCGACCCCGAGGATATACCTAAGACTGCTGTGATTACACCGTTTGGC